AGAGCGGAGAAGACCCAGAATTCTATTAGAAATCGGGTGTTAATTGGGACCTAAGAGTTTTAAACGAGTCATACGAGTGGGTTGAGAAGACAGTTGTCTTTAGGGCAGAGCTTAGGAACTGGCAATCTGCAGTTAGATATGGGTTGTTGGAGGCTTGGGTTTATCCGTATAACGGGTTTAGTTTGGTAGGCACTAAGATGGGTGGCTCGACTTTTGATGGTTCGGGGAGGAGGCATAGTGCAGCCAACCTGCTCAATTATGCAAATCCTGTGAATATTCAAGTTGTTGTGTATGCAAGTGTGGAAACAATAGTATTGGCATCTACTTCGCAGTCTTCGAGGTCTAGGCTATCCGCAATCGGGGTGGTTTACCTTGATCAGATGTTTATGTTTGAAAATCGGTTGATTATGGTTGGAGAATCATTCATTTGCTTCTCTTTTTGCCATTCCTTTGGTTTGGCAATGCAATGTCCAAATCAGGAGAAAGGAGAGTTGTTGGTTAGGAAGTTCTTAATGGGATTGATTACCTTCCCCGCCCACTGCCCTACCTCATTTCGGCATAGCTGTACACAAACTAAACAACATTAAGGAAGGGTACAGTCGCAGGCTCGCTTAAGGCGGATCTTCCGTGCTGAATATCAACCAAATTTGAACCGGATCTAGACCCGTCCGAGCAGGAGATAGAGCGGACCCCTTCTACTTCTATCAGTGAAGCACATCGCTTGTACAATTCAAGCTTCGCTGACTTCCCAGCTCGCGTTTTTAACACAGATAGTCCACCTTTGTCATGTAACGGGTCCGACCTAACTAACTCTTTTTGGGAAAGGTTCCTTTGATCTTCAAATCCCGTGGAGCGGTCCAAATCTACAAACGTATGAAGAAGTCGTTTCATAAGCTGTTTCAGCAGCTGAATCAGTCAAATTGACGCTTCAATCAATGCTTAACTCATGGGATATTGTCTCTTTTATCAGTTGGGTAATTTTAGCTTCAAATATAAGGTTCTCTTTTCTCTGTGTGATCCGTGTTGAGTGGCTTATCCCTAGTTTGTACCTGTTAAAAGGATCTCTCAAACCATGAGTGCAGTTTGGTTATAGTAAGAAGAGAGAAGACGAGACTATGGCATTGGTTTTCACCAAATCGATAAAGAGCGAACTCAGGTGCGCCATACACCGACGCTATGGCAGGAGTTTGAGCTCCGCGAAAGGTATGCTTCCAATTGAGCTTGTTTAGAAATGTACTTTTTCATGATACAAAACTCAGGATTTGGTTCTAAACCATATATATATATATAAATAATATAATCAAGGTGAAGACGTTGATTCACCTTCAGTAGAAGGCAACCTTTATCAGCATGTGCGGGCTGTGAAATGGAAGCTCAGTATCGTCGTAAATAATGATCTAGCCATAGACAAGAAGATAGAGTCTTGGCACCCGAAAGGCATCAAGAAGCCTAATATAATAGAGTAGTGGCCTAAACTGGACTCAACCATCGAAGAGCTCTGGCTCTATTGTACTATTCGTAACAACATTGACGTCATGGGGAACTTTGAGATCCCTTCAAAGTTGGTCTTACATTACAGTGAACTAGAGAGCCGCATTCTCCCCCCCTTAGGGTACAGTGAACTTGACACCGAACCGAAGTTCTGCGCTCTCTCCCCTTTTTGATTGAGATAATGGACATTTATAATCCCAATCCCATGTGGGTAGGTGTGTGTTCAGTACGGCTTGCCAATGTGGTGAAAAGACTATGACAATGTAAACACAGTCTGCCCCAGCTCAAGGAGTTGCTTCTGGCTTTCACGCGCAGCGCTCAGGGAGTTCCCTCAACCAATGGTTGACCTAGGCCTTGATAAGCGCTGTTTTGTTCTCTTTTCTTCATTGAGATTGGCTTCGTGTTCAGTGTACCGAACTGTAGCTTGTGTAGCCTATGCGAGCCTTATCGGGGCTTTGACTCTCAAGGTCATCCGGAGCCACTTTAAGGCAATTTATTGACCGTAGCAAGGCAATGTTCAGCAGTTGGGTAAGCACTAGCGAGAAGCTTTTCTTGGGATTGTTTTCCCAGGCGCGCTTATCAGCTTTTTTCTGAGGTCTATAGCAATGATAGAAGGATTTGAAGGAAAAGGAAAGGCATTGTGTTGTGTCAAGAAATAAGGAATGCCCAAAGGTAGTCGATATCCTCTGTACAGAGTAGGGCTTTTCACGATGGCACCGAAGCCCATATCTGATCTGGAACTTGAGAAAGCCTCCCGGGCCGGGTTGACTACGAAAAGAGAGCGAGAGAGGATCATCCACCTCTTTTAGATCTTTCACCACGTCGCTAAGATTCAATGATTTCATCATAGTCCCTTTCTCTAGAGCCTAAAGATCCTATAAGCTTTCAAGGCTCTGTAAAGATGGGAGCGGATTCAGTGAAATAAGAGGCTCAAGTGGTTCATCTGGCTATTCAAGGGATATTTTAAGAGGAAAGTATGCTATTCATCGGTGAGGGATCTATGATAGCTCGTGTATCTCTTAGCATCGATGGCATGCCTACTTTTTACAGCTTGAGACTTCCTCTCTCTGTCTTTACTTTATGGTTGTTAGTTCAAGTAGGCCAAGCTTAAGTCAGTCCGGTCAATCAATCAAGCATTCCATCGAAGCAGTAGGACGTACGGCTTAAATCTTCTTTCCTGCCAATCCGCTTTCAAGCTTCAGTCTTCAAGTCAAGATTCAGTAGTCCGTCCAGTCTAAATCAATGCTCTAGTCAAGTCAAGAGTGAGTTACTTACCGTAGTGAGTTTTCCTGCTTCCTCTTCCTTTGGTTGAGTGAGTCTGTTCCCAAAAAGTCTTATTGGGAAGTACTATCGGTCAAAGAAATGCTTATAATCAGTCTTTTAGCATTCCCTAACTTCTGGGCTTAGAGGACATTGCATTCTTCACAATAAGAAATCATTTGTTGTATCATTCTCAATGGGAAGGAGGAACTCGTTCATTGTCATCATATCAGCAAAGAAGGCATGAAGAATAAGGCACTATATGATGTGACGGAATAGCCCCCGGCTCGCAAAAGAAGGAAGCAGTCGGTTGAGGTACCGAGATTGCCCAGGAGATGCAATCAAAAGGTTTTCTGAATGTTAAATATCGGGTTACTTTTTATTGGCATTGGAAGTACATAACATTGTGGCAAGGTAACGTTTTACAGTGTAATAAATCTTCCACTTATTTGATGGGATGGTTAAAAGATTATCTATAGTTAAACTCTTCCCAACTTATCCATGGCCAATGGATATAACCCGTTTCGTATGAATAGTACACGTTTTGATTTCTTACTCTTCCGGTAGAGCCAACTGATAAGGACAGCTTTCTGTAGCACTGTCCTTTTTGTGTTTTTGTCTTTTAGAGTAGATATTACCAGATATATTAAATTATGTATGCACGTTTTGTATATACGTCGTGTTAATTTAATATATTACATATTAAGTCATATAATTTCCTATAATATGAACCGATTCAATTAATTTCATATTAAATTAATAAAATGATATTTTTTTATTAATTACTTAAAATTTTTAATGAAATGATAGACAACTGGGTTGTCCAGAATCGAATGCGTTTACTTTAGATTAACCCACTTCTTGATGGGTGGAGTAAAATCAATCTAAATGAACTGGAGCTGCTGAACCACTCCATTGTATTTTTCCATTATGTGAAGTTTTATTATTTTTATTATTATTAATGAAATGAATTAATGAATTATAGCCTATAATGAATTATATTAATTTATTCTCAAACATAAATAAAATATATTATGTCACTATACATTTTAATTTAATAATTTTTAAATTAAATATAAATATGTAACATATGAACATAATCTAATAAAAATTAGAACTCTTAATCTTAAATGTAAGACCAAGGTTTGGTGTTACATAGAAATTTGAATTCTTAATCCTAGATGTATGAAATCACAAGTCCAAAACTCCAAATTGTCCAATGTCAAAATTTACTAAATTATTTATTTATTTGTTTTTTGGAAGAAATTGATTAATATTAAACACATTTATAATTAATTGAAAATATTATATAGCTGGTAACCCTCTATATTGATTAAGAGAATATATTAATAAAAAACCAAGTTAAAGAAACAATTAAAATAATTGGTTTGTTACAATTAAACAATTAATCTCTCAAATTGACATATTTTTCCTAAATAATTAGCTTTTATTTAAGTGGAGATAATTTATAGTATACATTTTAATATTTTATACATATATAAATAAAAACTCGATTATATCCTTAAAATATTCTTGTAAATAAACTATAATTTATAGGTATTGATTAACTTGGTTCGTGTATTCAAATTGTCTAATTTATTTAATATTTAAAATACTTGATTGTATATTTACTTTATTGAAATAGATTATGAGTAATGCTATGCTTACTCACGATCTTATTAATCATCTTACTATCCTTTGTTAAAATTACATATGATACATGTACTATGCTTATGGTACACGTACTATGTTTTATATTTACACATGATAGTAAGATGGTTAGTAGGATCGTGAGTAAGCATAGTATTATTGATAAACTATATACAAACGTGCAAATAAGTCTATTAAAATCATCATTCATATTGCATTTAATATGTGATCAAATATTTTTATTCGAATAAATGGTTTCTCTAACTCATAAAAATAAAAATATCTCTTATAAATTATGATTGGTCGTATTTTTTTAACTACTACAATATATCTTTCTTTTTTTCAAAAAAATTATTGATATGACTTTATATAGATAATTAAATAATATAAAGATGACATATAAACTAATTAGCCTTTTTCTAGTTTTTATTTTATTTATGTTGGGTATTAGATAATTGTTGGACTCTTTATATGGATAATAAAATAATTCACTTATTTTAGTGTCGGTAATTATCTGTTTGCAGGCGATATTTTGATTTAGACTGTAAATTTAAAAACAAATAAATTCCTCAGGCACAAAATGAGAAAACATAAGAAGATAAAACAAAGAATAAAAGTATCTTCCACTATAAATCTTACAATTTAAGAAGCGAAACCACTAGCATTCACACTTCATCGACTCTGAAAATAAATTAAAATTATTTTATAAACAAGAAAATCCTTGAACAATTTTCATGTTCTCATCATTATTATATGGAATTATTCATGTCCTCTTGTTCTTGCTGCCTAACAACAATGTAAAGTAAAAGAGAATTCTGAAGAAAAATCCCCAAGCAACTGCAACCCATAAGCAATTCCACTTGCTGAGATCTGTGATTCCTTGTTGCACCAGTGTGTCCACCCCAGTTGTCACACAACTGTTGCCCGTAATGTTTATGCCCAAAACACCGCTCATACTACTCAGCAGCTTCAGTTTCACGGCCTCCGGCACTGCCACTAATGGCGTGTTGTCGAACATTTGCACTCCTCTCACGAAGCATTTCGTGGGATCGCCAAATTCGTTCTGCATAACGCCTTCGTAAGGATATTTCACCAGAGAAATGTAGTGAAACCAAATCCAGTAGGGAGGAATTCGGTTGCGGGAAATGAAGAAGCCGCTGAAGAGGAGGAAGTAAGCCAAAATGGCGACAACGACTGTAAAGCCTAACATGACATGAGACACGACGCCGGAGAGGAAAGTTACGAAGGAATTTCCGGCCCAGAAGGAGGCCAAGATTGCGAGGAAGTAAAAGAAGAAGCCTCCTGATAGGCCCACAGCCCAGAAGGTTGTGGCGGCAAAGACAAGAGAGAGGAAAATTAAAGAAGGGAGGGAGATGATTGAGTGAGAAAGAACGTATGAAGAACGGCGATAAGCATTGTAAGCTGTTTCTCTCATGAAAATGTTTCGTTCTTGAAGAAAGACTGGGATTGCTTCTGCACAGGTGTAGAAAGTTGTGGACATGGCGAAAGCGAAGAAGCCTATACGTTCTTGAACGCCTTTGGGTGAGTTGTCTAGATGCCAAAACACGGTGGCCAGGATAATCCCTGTTACAAGAATAGCGCCTAAGCGAATTCCGAATAGCTCAGGCATTCTTCTTGAGTTTGTGAGTGATCTTTTGGCAATAACTATCATTTCAATCCAAAAAGGATTGGCAAAAGTTGGAAATGAGGAAGTTGATTTGGAGTCACTCGGAGCACCAGAAACAAGTTTGCCCCTTGAAACGCTTGCACTTATTGCATCTTTCAGGGATAGACTTGTTTTCTTGGACTCTGGCTTTCTCGGATTCTTTCTGTTTTGCCATGACTTGTTGAACTCCACTAAGTTAGAGGTTCCACCAGGAGTTTCTTCAAGCTCACGAATCAAATCAAGAGCGAACTCTGTTCGATTCTCATTCTCAGGAATCGGATGCCCAAACTCGGAAAAGAATTCAGGAATATTCGCTGGTGTGCCACCAAAGACAGTGTTACCATGTGAAAGAAAAATCAAGCGATCAAGCAAGCTTAAAATTCGGTAACTTGGTTGGTGAATAGACATGATAACAATGCTTCCGCTCAGGGCAATTCGCTGCAAGACTTTAACCACCATAAACGCACTTGTTGAGTCTAGACCTGAGGTGGGTTCATCGAGAAACAAGAGAATTGGGTCGTGAATTATATCAGTTCCAATGGAAACTCTCCTGCGTTCACCTCCAGAAACTCCTCTATGTCCTTCATCACCTATGACTGTGTTAGCCGCGTTGCGGAGACCAAGTTGATCAATCAGAGCTTGAACTCTAGCCTTCTTCTTACTCTTTGAAAGCGAACGAGGAAGCCGAAACTCGGCCGAGAACATAAGCGTCTCTTCTACAGTTAACATAGGAAACAAAAGATCATCTTGCATGACATATGCAGAAATCACCTTCAAAAGCCTCGACTCCAAAACTTCACCATTCAAAGACACTGTTCCTTTCAAGCTGTCTTTTGCAATCCTGTCTGCAAGAGCATCAATCAACGTGGATTTCCCCGATCCACTAGCACCAAGAACGGCCATGATTTCACCTTCTCTCGCCTCCCCTGATATGTCATTGAGTAAGATCTTCTCTGGTGAATCATGAGCGTCCTTTCCAAAACATGGAAGCTCTAGCTTTTGACGAACTTTTACACTGTATGTTAAGTTTTTAAAAGAAAGAACAAAAGGGTGTGATGTTGGCAGGGAACTGCAAGAATAGCTAATCTCAAGCACTCTATGATCAATAGGAGTGTTGTCACCTGAACTATTGGCATCTTCTACGCGCCTTAAGAGCTCCGCGAGAGTGCGAGAGACATCAGGCTTATCTCTTCTCGGGTACTGTTGGAGCTCAAATGGTTGGTTTTGTCTAAAGAATGTAAGATCGTCCCCGGCAATTGGCTTCGCCAGGGACTTGTTTGAGCCTCCAACACGAGACATCAGTGAGCCTTTTTTTTTTTTTTTTTGGTGAGGTTTAGTTACAAAACTCTCTATGCAAGGGATTTATAGCTGAAATGACAAAGAAAAAGAGAGTACCGTCAATATGTTTGGTGATTTAAAGTATCTAACTTTTGCTCCTGTATGACTACACTATTTAATTTCGGATCGTCAATGTTTATTTACTTGACACAAAACTTAAACTAGTAACCAAGGGTCTAAAAAGAGTAATAAATTATATAATAGATACCAAAAAATAGAGCTACTGATTTCGTCTTTTATGTTATAAATACCAACGTCACCAATTGCCTATCTACTAAAAATTACCAACTGGCAACAAGTGTAATAGGACCCATAACCTATATCATAAAAGGTAACATTCACTTGTGATGTCAATATAATGGTTTCTGTGATGTTCTTGTGATTTTGTTTGATCAATTTACCTGTATAGTGAATGTTCTTTCTTTAATCTTAATGAAGAATCCCTGTAAGTATTGGGATAATTATCAAGTATTTTTTAGTACAAGAAATTAAGGTTAGGTAAGATGTCAAACAAATCCTTGTTTATTTGAATGTTAATGAAATGAACCCATCAAAACTGGGATTAGATGAAGCAGGGTCCTACTTGATTACTGCAGCATGTACACCTTTCGTGTAATGAGGCAAATGCAATATGATTAGTTCTGTATCATTGAGGGACTATTATTATTAGTCACAAACGGTGGCCTACACTTCCTAATCTCTTTTCCACACGCCTTCATTCCTTCACGATAACTCAGTTTGACTGAAACCATTTTTCCAGCTTAATTGTTATTCACGTACCCTTCTTTTTTATCTTCATTTTTCTATTATTAATTGGGTTTCTATGTTAGGTATGGATGTTATATCTACTGTGGAATGACTACATGGGTGTTCATCTGCTATTGATACACTGATAAAAGTGGTAAGAAAAGTCTAAAAAAAAAAGGTAAAACACAGAGAGGATCCTGGCTTACAAGCAAGATTGGGGCAACCATTTTTGGTTGAACCTAATTCCTCCACGGGTGAACTGTGAAGTGTCATAATGGCAAGGGTTATTCTGAAATCGATTGAAAGATGTTGCCAATTAATTTTAGAGTAAACGACTTTTTTTTTCCCCACCCAAGGTTTTCCTTAATGACACTTTTCCACCCAAAAGTTTCAAAATACCACTTTTCCACCCAAAGTTAATATTTCGTTGCTACTCAAAGCCAATTCTGAGGGAGAAAATTGCCTTCGTCATCACCATTTGAACCTTCGATCTCCTCTCTAAAAAACCTCTCTCACTCCGGTACCTAATTTCTCATTAATTGTCGACCACCGCAAAGTTAGGGTTTCCTATTCTTAACTGATTTTCAACTGATTTTGACGACGAATATTCAATCGGTCACCATTATTTGATCCACCAGCCTCCACTATACAAAACTTCTCTTACCCTAGTTCTTGGTAACTCGACGAACACTGGCTGAGAAAGTAAAATGTATTTTGGGTATTAATGGAATATAAACTTTGGATGGAAAAGTGGTATTTTCAAAACTTTTTTGTGGGAAAGTGTCATTAAGGCAAACCTTGGTGGGAAAAAGTTGTTTACTCTTTAATTTTAATATCAAATAATAAATGGTACACCAAAACAAAATATGACATTGGGAAAAGAAACACAAATGTTTTGTGAAAATGTTTCAAGTATTCCCTGAACAAATCAATCAGCTTCCTTGTTTGTGTGAACGATTGAACAGGTTCTATTTTATTTTACCCCTACTTTGAAGCCCCAAATATGAATCAAACAAGTTTTAGATGTGAAAGGAATCCTTAGTTTTTGAGGTAAATCTTTTGCCCCTGAAATTAAGAAAACCCCAAATCTACATTAAATTTGTCTCAAATATGACTTGTGTATAATGTTTTAAAAACACTTTCTTTTGCAATAAGCTAATGGATTAAAAGTTCCTTTTTTTCTTTTAATTATCTCTGGGTGACCAAGTGGTTCGATAAAAACTCTTAGGTGTATTACTCAAAAGGTCATAAATTTGAATCTCTCCTTAGTTGGTAATAGAGGTAACCACTAGAACTCTTACTCGGTTGGTAGTTTTAAGATTTCGAAAAATTAGTTGAGATGTGCATAAGCTAGTCTGGACATTCCCAATTATCAAAAAAAAAAAAAAAAAAATTAGAAGTTTCTTCATTTATTAATATAATTTCTTCTTCATTCTGGGGCTGAAAAAAGCATTTTTTGGGGGAAGCACAGTTACATCATTGTCTGCCAATTGTTTTAAAGTTTCCTTCTAATTCACTCATTTCACACCTCTTGCATTTAAAGTCTTGCGTTTACATTTACTTTAGTATTTCTAGTATTTCTATGTCAACTTGTTCTTCATAGCAAACAAAAACCATTCTTGATTAAGTAAACCAGAGCAGAGAATTAGTAAAAGGTGAAATGGAGACTGTGTTCTAAGCCTTTTTCTAAGGATGTCCAAAGAAGTTTCTAACTTTTTCCCTGTAACAAATTCTGCTACATTTCTGAAAGTTTGACTTTGAGTTTGAGAAATTTCATAAACATCATCAGGGTTGTTTCGAAATCCTCAAAATCTGCTGTTGATTTTATATCAACAAGAGGTAAAATTAAGTTGTGTGCTGTGCAGCTCAGTCCATAACATCCTTTTAACTATACCCAATTTTTTTAATAGTCTTTTGAAAAAAAAATTGAGTTGGGTAGTATTAAAAGTTTTTTTTTTTTAATAACATTTTTTGAAAATATTTAGATTATTTTTAACTCTTTAGATTTGTTAATTTAACTAAACACTCTCAATAATCAAAATTTATAAATTAACAAAAATACCCCCAACCACCCACATTTGTCAGACTCCAACTAGCACCGTCGGAAGGTGCTCGAAATCTGTCGTAATTGTGCACTACTGGCTGGATATAGTTGGTAGTGTGCCGATTTGGCCTTTTTCGGACAGTCTACCGTGGATCTGGCCGAAAAAGACCACATCTAGCCACATTTGGCCATTGATAACAACTATATCTAGCATTTTCCGGCCAGATCCATTGTGGATTCTAGCCAAAAAAAGTCAGATTGGCACACAACTGACCATATCCAGTCGATGATAGTGCGTCATTACGGTAGATTCCGGTCACCTTCCGACGATAATGGCCGATATCTGACAAATGTAGGTGGGTGGGTGTGTTTTTGTCCGTTTATAAACTTTTATTATTATAGGTGTTTAGTTAAATTAACAAACTTGTTTAGTTAAATTAACAAACTTAGGGGGTTAAAAATAATTTAAATATTTTGAGTTGAATAGAATAGTATTGTATCTTGAAGAAAATTTTGAATATTAAAACAAATATGTATTTGGATATGATTGGATAGGATAGTGGAATAGGATAAGGTAAAAATGTTGTACCAAAGGGGCCTTATTATTATTATTAAGTTGTCGTTGTTGCGCAGAAAAATTCAAAGCGGATAAATCTCCAATTGACATGTAAATATCTCTTGATCAAGGCTAACGATGGTGTAACTTTTCTATTTTATTGAATTTGAGCTTATCTCAAACTCAATCTTGTAATGGGTGTTATATAGAACAATTATAAATTAGATCGCTTTTTGTAAATTAGATCGCTAATATCACATGTTCAATAACATAACAATAGATGTAGGATTCAATAACATAAGAAATGGATATAGGTTTTGCATTATAGGTATTTAATAACATAACAATTGATATAAGTTTTGCATTATAGTCAGTCGAGTGGAACCACTTTAAAAAGCCAAACCACTTTAAAAAGTATTTATCGTTCTTTGTTATTTTATATTAATTACTGTGTATTCATCATCATATTATTATTTTATTCTTATTCTAACATTGTCAATCATGTCTCTCTTGTCAATCATGTCTCCCTTGTTAGCGTAGATTTCTACATCAACAATTATTATTATTATTATTATTATTATTATTATTATTATTATTATTATTATTATCAATTTAAAATGGAAATGATCTCAAAAAGTTGAAACTTTTTCAATATTTGTAAAAAGTCATAAATGAGCTCATCATTCTTTTGGGATTATTTGTTAAATCTTTACCATTAATTTTAACGTGAAAGTATAGGAAAACTTTGTAAATGCATGTATAATGAATTTTGACAATTTTTTGAAAATTGTGGGACGTAACGACAGCTGAGCTGACAATATATAATTACAGTTGAACTGTTCTTAGCAAGCCAATAGTACCTCCATAATAATTTAACCTTTTAATAACAAAATTAACAATAAATAAATTTATCATAAGCAGATGGGATTTGGAGACTCATTGACAATGGAATCTCTTTACTTAACTAGCTTTGGTCGAGTTGATTTTAAGTATTTACAATTAACAAGGCTTTAAGAGCCCCTCTCAATCTCATTCGTTCCTATCAGTTTCCTCTAAATGAATCCCTTATCAGCACTCAACAGAAGTCCAGTTTTTAGAGAAATGACCCAGTTGAGGTATAATTTCAGATGAAGAAAATAATATATAATCTCTTTAACATAGACGTTATCGTTAGTTTTAGTAGGTACAGCTAATCTTTCTTTATCCACCTAACATGCCTCTAGTTTCTAATATATCAATTTCCCATTCAACGTCTTCATATCTGAAATTCAATGGCCTTTAATCAGAAAAATTTTAAAAACAGTAGCAGAGCGGTGACGATGAGTTATCCTAAAAGCATCAAGATTAGTCATTGAGAAACTTGACTCTGCTCTGCCCTTGATGGAAAAGCAATTGATATGGTCAACCAGCTCAGTCTCAGTCACCAACTGAAAACTAACTTGGTCAATTCATTCTCACCAAACATATGGCTCATTTCCTCATTCACATCACTCTTTTAACCATTCAGTACCTGCTATTACTTTTTTCCTACTCCTATGATGGTTTTTGTGAAGAAACATGTTGCATCTTCCAGTTTCTTCGCAAATTTTTGTACATAACAAGGATCTGCATAAAGAAAAAGGGCGAAATGGATTGATTTAACTTACACTTTCGTGTTTTTAAGTTAGCAACTTACTGCATTAGCAGAAGGTTTACAGGACCATTTAGCACATCCATCAGATGGCAAAAAAATAACTGTGAACTTTTGTTGATTTCCAACACTAAAATATGTGGTTTGAAAGAACCCAAAAAATTAAAGAGCTTATGGTAGACAAAAAGTACCAGCGTAAGCCAGTTCTCCATAGTCCATACAATCCCTGTTAACTGGATGGAACCAAAAATATAGGTCGGACACCGCGGATTCGATACACGGCAGGCAGTATCAGGAGTACTGAACAACTTCTCCATGAATATGTTGCAAATTGTCTCACTCTGATTTCGTTTTTGAAGATTTCCTCCTTGACGTTTGAGATCCGTTTGTACTTCTCCCCACGAACTTTAGAACTTCATCAATTAAAATCACAGGGAATGCAATGACCAAAACCAAGAGCCATTCATTGAAGCTTAGAGGCACAATACCAAAAACTTGAGCAAGGAATGGCACATACAGGATCAAGAAGTGCAAACCGAATGAAACAGACATTGCCACAAGTAGCCAAGGGTTGACCCAAGGGGGCATTGTCAAGAGGCTCCCATCCTCAGAAAGGGCATTGAGGGAGTTAAACATTTCAATGGCAACCAACACAGAAAGGGAAAGTGTCATAGCTTTTACTTTCCCACCATGGAAATAATCACAAGGATTATCATTGAAGGAGAACACCTGACTCCCAGCTGTGAAGGGTGAAACAGTAAAATTCCCCCACAATGAGCACTGACCCCAGTTGGCAAGCTGTGAGTAACTGACAAGAGTGTGGCCATCCCCGATAAGATCGATGCCCAAGAAAGAATCATGTGTATACCAAATGATAAAAATACCAACGGTCGCTATTCCAACATAGAGCCCAATGACCTGTGCAGAGAAGTAGAGTAGATAAATTGCAAATTCCAGTAAAATTTAAAGAATGTTCCCTTGGGAGATTAAGCAATACCCAAATATGGAAGTTAAATGCTTAAAACATGGGAACTGATGAGAGATTAAGCAATACCCAAATATGAAAGTTAAACGCTTAAAAAATGGGAACTAAAGAAGATAAAATACCAAGTAGCGGAATAAAATCCAAGCACTAATGAGAGAGTCATCGCTTCTACGAGGGGGCTTCTTCATTATGTCTTTATCTGGGGGATTGAATCCCAATGCTGTTGCAGGTGGTCCGTCAGTAACAAGATTTACCCACAGAAGCTGGACAGGTATCAGGCCTTCAGGAATACCTAAAGCTGCTGTTAAAAATATAGAGGCAACCTCTCCAATATTTGAAGATATCATATACCTGAAATAGATGAAATGTCTCAGTTAATATAATCCCATCTCTTAGTATCTAGAAATGACTTCCAAGGGAAAAAATAAATAATAGGAGTGCAGTAATTAAAGGTAAAAATAAAAAATAAATACGAAAATTTGGTTGAGGGTGCCATTCCTTGTGGTAAGTTCAATACTGTCAACGGAAATGACTGAGTGAGGAAACAATAACATTATACTGCTCCAGAGAATTAAGCTACTAGCTCTTAAAAAAGTGCATCGAATACATAACATGCATCAATTCTTAAATTACTTATCACTCCATCATATCTGGTATCAAGTGGGAGTTTGGACTCTAATTTTACAACCAAATCAGTTATAAGACCATGTATCAAAGAAAACTTCAGCCAGGAATAATATGTTATATATCATTCAACTAGTTACACCAGAACTGTTGCAATTTACTGTCTCGACACCCACATATATCATTCGTGACCATTTCACTTCCATTTTTAATGACTAAAACCTAGTGAACATCAACTTTCAGATAAAAGCATGTTTCATTTTGAATTTTATTATAGACGCTGCATGAATGAGAAATAAAAAATAAAAACCTGATAAAAGCCTTCATGTTGTTGTAAATGGATCTGCCTTCACTGACAGCAGAAACAATTGTACTAAAATTATCATCTGCCAACACCATATCAGAAGCTTCCTTTGCAACCTGAAAATAGAAAAGATGAGAATGAGGGGAAAAGTAACAAATTACCAGTTCAAATCAATGAGTAGGACCAAATAAACAGAATAACAATTAACAACATTAGATCCCTCACAATCCCTTACTCAAACCACTTGGGAATTGGTAAAATAAATGCTGTTGCATAACTCCCTATGTTATCCAATTAAAAATGAGATCTTTCGATCGCCTTTATCTTGTTCTACACCTTACAAACTGAATTCTTCAAAGATCTGATTTAGTAGAATCAGGTGTACCATAAAAAGTAAATACAAGATGATATTTGTACAAACAAAAATGATTAATTACCTCTGTTCCAGCAATGCCCATGGCAATCCCAATATCTGCCAGTTTCAGAGCAGGGGCATCGTTAACTCCATCACCAGTCATGGCAACCACCTCCCCATCTTCTTTGAGCAACCTAACTATCTCTTGCTTGTGCCTTGGTTCAGCTCTGGAAAACAATAGCCCACCACTTTGTCTTAGATGGGCTTTCTTATCACGCAGCTCCATGAACTCTTTACCAGTCAAACTTTTCGAACTAATGTCTTCGTTAGGTTCAAATACACCTATTTCATTACATATAGCTTCCGCTGTATTCTTGTTATCTCCTGTAATAACCATGATACGAATTCCAGCTGCTCTGCAGTCCTCAATTGCTTGCGAAACCTCTTCTCTTGGAGGATCCTTTTAAGAATAGAAAAAATTAATTGTCACAGTCAGTTCATAGAACAGAAATATAATTGCATAAGTGAACAATATTCAAATATCTATTATTACATACCCTCAATCCAACCAAGCCGACAAAAGTAAGTTTGTTCTCAATTGATGCATAGTTGGATGGATTAAGTAAAAGTGCATGAGCTGGGTGATCTTCAGTACCATCATAGGTTTCAAATTCAGGAAGCTCATCTTTGTACGCAAAACCCAAGCAGCGTAATGCACCAGTCGACATTTCATGAAGGGCTTGTAAAATAATGTTCCTTGAATTATGGTCCAGTGGTACAACAGAACCATCGAGCAACTGAATCTTTGTGCTCCTCTCCAGTAGATTTTCCACAGCACCCTGACATATTAGCACTGCATGTTAGAACTCTAAACAAGCTTTTACAACTGACACAAAAATGAACAGAAATCTTTATCACAGAATATATATATATTATCAATTTAAAATGGAAATGATCTCAAAAAGTTGAAACTTTTTCAATATTTGTAAAAAGTCATAAATGAGCTCATCATTCTTTTGGGATTATTTGTTAAATCTTTACCATTAATTTTAACGTGAAAGTATAGGAAAACTTTGTAAATGCATGTATAATGAATTTTGACAATTTTTTGAAAATTGTGGGACGTAACGACAGCTGAGCTGACAATATATAATTACAGTTGAACTGTTCTTAGCAAGCCAATAGTACCTCCATAATAATTTAACCTTTTAATAACAAAATTAACAATAAATAAATTTATCATAAGCAGATGGGATTTGGAGACTCATTGACAATGGAATCTCTTTACTTAACTAGCTTTGGTCGAGTTGATTTTAAGTATTTACAATTAACAAGGCTTTAAGAGCCCCTCTCAATCTCATTCGTTCCTATCAGTTTCCTCTAAATGAATCCCTTATCAGCACTCAACAGAAGTCCAGTTTTTAGAGAAATGACCCAGTTGAGGTATAATTTCAGATGAAGAAAATAATATATAATCTCTTTAACATAGACGTTATCGTTAGTTTTAGTAGGTACAGCTAATCTTTCTTTATCCACCTAACATGCCTCTAGTTTCTAATATATCAATTTCCCATTCAACGTCTTCATATCTGAAATTCAATGGCCTTTAATCAGAAAAATTTTAAAAACAGTAGCAGAGCGGTGACGATGAGTTATCCTAAAAGCATCAAGATTAGTCATTGAGAAACTTGACTCTGCTCTGCCCTTGATGGAAAAGCAATTGATATGGTCAACCAGCTCAGTCTCAGTCACCAACTGAAAACTAACTTGGTCAATTCATTCTCACCAAACATATGGCTCATTTCCTCATTCACATCACTCTTTTAACCATTCAGTACCTGCTATTACTTTTTTCCTACTCCTATGATGGTTTTTGTGAAGAAACATGTTGCATCTTCCAGTTTCTTCGCAAATTTTTGTACATAACAAGGATCTGCATAAAGAAAAAGGGCGAAATGGATTGATTTAACTTACACTTTCGTGTTTTTAAGTTAGCAACTTACTGCATTAGCAGAAGGTTTACAGGACCATTTAGCACATCCATCAGATGGCAAAAAAATAACTGTGAACTTTTGTTGATTTCCAACACTAAAATATGTGGTTTGAAAGAACCCAAAAAATTAAAGAGCTTATGGTAGACAAAAAGTACCAGCGTAAGCCAGTTCTCCATAGTCCATACAATCCCTGTTAACTGGATGGAACCAAAAATATAGGTCGGACACCGCGGATTCGATACACGGCAGGCAGTATCAGGAGTACTGAACAACTTCTCCATGAATATGTTGCAAATTGTCTCACTCTGATTTCGTTTTTGAAGATTTCCTCCTTGACGTTTGAGATCCGTTTGTACTTCTCCCCACGAACTTTAGAACTTCATCAATTAAAATCACAGGGAATGCAATGACCAAAACCAAGAGCCATTCATTGAAGCTTAGAGGCACAATACCAAAAACTTGAGCAAGGAATGGCACATACAGGATCAAGAAGTGCAAACCGAATGAAACAGACATTGCCACAAGTAGCCAAGGGTTGACCCAAGGGGGCATTGTCAAGAGGCTCCCATCCTCAGAAAGGGCATTGAGGGAGTTAAACATTTCAATGGCAACCAACACAGAAAGGGAAAGTGTCATAGCTTTTACTTTCCCACCATGGAAATAATCACAAGGATTATCATTGAAGGAGAACACCTGACTCCCAGCTGTGAAGGGTGAAACAGTAAAATTCCCCCACAATGAGCACTGACCCCAGTTGGCAAGCTGTGAGTAACTGACAAGAGTGTGGCCATCCCCGATAAGATCGATGCCCAAGAAAGAATCATGTGTATACCAAATGATAAAAATACCAACGGTCGCTATTCCAACATAGAGCCCAATGACCTGTGCAGAGAAGTAGAGTAGATAAATTGCAAATTCCAGTAAAATTTAAAGAATGTTCCCTTGGGAGATTAAGCAATACCCAAATATGGAAGTTAAATGCTTAAAACATGGGAACTGATGAGAGATTAAGCAATACCCAAATATGAAAGTTAAACGCTTAAAAAATGGGAACTAAAGAAGATAAAATACCAAGTAGCGGAATAAAATCCAAGCACTAATGAGAGAGTCATCGCTTCTACGAGGGGGCTTCTTCATTATGTCTTTATCTGGGGGATTGAATCCCAATGCTGTTGCAGGTGGTCCGTCAGTAACAAGATTTACCCACAGAAGCTGGACAGGTATCAGGCCTTCAGGAATACCTAAAGCTGCTGTTAAAAATATAGAGGCAACCTCTCCAATATTTGAAGATATCATATACCTGAAATAGATGAAATGTCTCAGTTAATATAATCCCATCTCTTAGTATCTAGAAATGACTTCCAAGGGAAAAAATAAATAATAGGAGTGCAGTAATTAAAGGTAAAAATAAAAAATAAATACGAAAATTTGGTTGAGGGTGCCATTCCTTGTGGTAAGTTCAATACTGTCAACGGAAATGACTGAGTGAGGAAACAATAACATTATACTGCTCCAGAGAATTAAGCTACTAGCTCTTAAAAAAGTGCATCGAATACATAACATGCATCAATTCTTAAATTACTTATCACTCCATCATATCTGGTATCAAGTGGGAGTTTGGACTCTAATTTTACAACCAAATCAGTTATAAGACCATGTATCAAAGAAAACTTCAGCCAGGAATAATATGTTATATATCATTCAACTAGTTACACCAGAACTGTTGCAATTTACTGTCTCGACACCCACATATATCATTCGTGACCATTTCACTTCCATTTTTAATGACTAAAACCTAGTGAACATCAACTTTCAGATAAAAGCATGTTTCATTTTGAATTTTATTATAGACGCTGCATGAATGAGAAATAAAAAATAAAAACCTGATAAAAGCCTTCATGTTGTTGTAAATGGATCTGCCTTCACTGACAGCAGAAACAATTGTACTAAAATTATCATCTGCCAACACCATATCAGAAGCTTCCTTTGCAACCTGAAAATAGAAAAGATGAGAATGAGGGGAAAAGTAACAAATTACCAGTTCAAATCAATGAGTAGGACCAAATAAACAGAATAACAATTAACAACATTAGATCCCTCACAATCCCTTACTCAAACCACTTGGGAATTGGTAAAATAAATGCTGTTGCATAACTCCCTATGTTATCCAATTAAAAATGAGATCTTTCGATCGCCTTTATCTTGTTCTACACCTTACAAACTGAATTCTTCAAAGATCTGATTTAGTAGAATCAGGTGTACCATAAAAAGTAAATACAAGATGATATTTGTACAAACAAAAATGATTAATTACCTCTGTTCCAGCAATGCCCATGGCAATCCCAATATCTGCCAGTTTCAGAGCAGGGGCATCGTTAACTCCATCACCAGTCATGGCAACCACCTCCCCATCTTCTTTGAGCAACCTAACTATCTCTTGCTTGTGCCTTGGTTCAGCTCTGGAAAACAATAGCCCACCACTTTGTCTTAGATGGGCTTTCTTATCACGCAGCTCCATGAACTCTTTACCAGTCAAACTTTTCGAACTAATGTCTTCGTTAGGTTCAAATACACCTATTTCATTACATATAGCTTCCGCTGTATTCTTGTTATCTCCTGTAATAACCATGATACGAATTCCAGCTGCTCTGCAGTCCTCAATTGCTTGCGAAACCTCTTCTCTTGGAGGATCCTTTTAAGAATAGAAAAAATTAATTGTCACAGTCAGTTCATAGAACAGAAATATAATTGCATAAGTGAACAATATTCAAATATCTATTATTACATACCCTCAATCCAACCAAGCCGACAAAAGTAAGTTTGTTCTCAATTGATGCATAGTTGGATGGATTAAGTAAAAGTGCATGAGCTGGGTGATCTTCAGTACCATCATAGGTTTCAAATTCAGGAAGCTCATCTTTGTACGCAAAACCCAAGCAGCGTAATGCACCAGTCGACATTTCATGAAGGGCTTGTAAAATAATGTTCCTTGAATTATGGTCCAGTGGTACAACAGAACCATCGAGCAACTGAATCTTTGTGCTCCTCTCCAGTAGATTTTCCACAGCACCCTGACATATTAGCACTGCATGTTAGAACTCTAAACAAGCTTTTACAACTGACACAAAAATGAACAGAAATCTTTATCACAGAATATATATATATATATTATTAGTGGGCAAAGGAGCATTTGATTTACTGGACTACTGATCTTTTGATATAGGAAGACGACAAAACATTCAAAATACAGAAAAAGTTAAATAAACAATGAAATCTATAAACAGCAACTAAGAAAATTTTGACAGAAGATAGAATTGAAGTCATGGATCATAGACTATCAAGACTTAAAAGAGTTCCCAATGAGTGAAACTATTGGCTATAAAGTTTAGCTTGTGTGATGGGGCAGTCATGTGTTCGGGTCAAAATTGACATCAATAGCACTCAAATTTTTGCATTTTCCAAGAAATCCAATAAAGCAAATAAAGTTTATTTTCACACAAAAGAGCCTTCAATATGTTTTGCCTTTACTTAACCAGAAAAAGAGATGAATATGCAGAACAATGCACCATTTGGCCAATTATAAGAGTGGAAATCAATAGTTCACATCTAATTTACAAAAAGAATGGCATATGTTTTATAGTTGGACATCATTCATATTTGGGGGAGGAGAGAGAGAAGGAACACCTTCACCAACAATGATTTCTTCCCAGAACGAGAGTTGACAATAACACCCATGGACTTCCTATCACGATCAAACTCAAGAGTTGCAATCCGTTTTTCATATTCATTCCATTTGCGGCAACAACCTTGCGAAACATAAAACATGAAAGCAGAGTATGTGAATTTCTAACTTCAAACATTTCAGTAGCAAGGAAAATTAATTAAAGACAAAGTATGTGGAGTATTTTGCATACGTAGAATGTCATCCCCAGTAATTGCGGATGCATCACTAAACCCTGCTGGGAGACCCATTTTTTCAACTAGAACCTGAAATGAAAAAGAAACGAATTGAATCAAAATCCAGAACGACCACCATGGCAGGTTACATCAATACTATACAACGCAGAAATTCTAAGAAGAAAAAGAAAAGCAACCGACAAAGTAAACAAATCCTCTTCAAGTTGCATCCACCAAAAAGGTAGTTGTTGATTAAATCCCAAGAACACAAGATATGTAAAAAGAACAACCAAAACGACTATTTTGAAAAATATGTATGCGCAAATCAACAAATTACCAAAAGTTTGTACTAGAAAAATGATAAAATGCAATAATACAAACATCCAAAAGCATAACAGAACGAACAAAATAAAAAAAGACAAAAACAGCCAAAACTAGATGGTCTCACCTTCAGAGCTGCCTCAGTAGGCATCCCATGAGAAACAAATTTATGATCTGACTGCGCAATACCAGCATCATTACACACAGCAGCTATCTTGGCGATCATTTGAAGATTAGCATCCAATTGACCCGGGTTCCAATCATGTATATATCCATCATAAGGATTATATGTAGTCCCATCAACCTTAAAACTTCTCAATTTATCAACTGTACCACCCATTGCTACAAGTTTGATCACAGCCATCTGATTGGTTGTCAAAGTACCAGTTTTATCAGAACATATCACAGTCGTACAACCCAATGTCTCAACACTCGGCAACTTTCTCACAAGCGCATTCTTTTGAGCCATTTTACGCGTACCAAGTGCTAAACAAGTGGTAATCACGGCAGGTAAACCTTCAGGAATTGCAGCCACAGCCAATGCAACAGCAATTTCAAAGTAATAAGTACATTTCTCAAACGAAAACTTGAAATTCCTAGGCCACCCATTAACATACTCCCAATTAAGAAAGTACTTAACATTAATCAACCACACAAGCACACATACAACTCCAATTATCATTGTCAAAACCTCTCCAAATTCATTCAACTTCTTCTTCAGCGGCGTGTCTTCTTCAATTTGTGAAGCAGCATAAATTTGCTTATGCACTTTCCCAATTTCAGTCTCCATACCAATCTGTGTAACCAAACACACACAATTCCCATTCACAACTGTAGTTCCAGCAAAAAGAATACATTTTTTCCCTTGAATATCAGCATCTGGAGGAACCACTTTGGTGTTTTTATTAACCGCCTCGCTCTCTCCAGTTAACGAACCTTGTTCAACTCTTAAAGTTGAACTAACCAATTCCACAACACGCATATCAGCAGGAACTTTATCACCAACCTTGAGCTCCACAATATCACCAGGTAAAAGTTCCTTAGCCGGCAACTTATGGATTTTATTACCGTCACGAATCACCGTAGCGTGCTCTGATTGAATCTCTTTCAGAGCCTCCAAAGCTTTCTCCGCATTATTTTCTTGCCAAACACCAACAATTGCGTTAATAATCAGTATAAGGAAAATCACTAACGGCTCCACAAACGCCGTTATTTCCATCTCGCCACCTTCTTCGCCGTCGTACCAAGCCAGCACAAACGAAATAACCGCCGCGGCGAGTAAAATTCGAACTAGCGTGTCGTTGAACTGGTCCAGTATTAAACTCCATATGGACGGACCTTCGTGTTTCTCCAGTTCATTTAAGCCACAGATCCTACGACGCCGTCCGACGTCCCCTGAGTTTATCCCCGTTCTTCTGTTAACCTGATATTGTTTTTCACACTCTTCAACGTCCTTGGCCCAGGCCGGGAAGATATCACGATCCTCGTCCGATCTAGAATTAATAGTTTCTCGCGAACCGTAATCTTCGCCTCCTTTCCCCATTCAGATCCACTGCAACTGAAAATAGAAAGTTTAAGAAAATTTACGTTTGTTTGTTTGATCTAGAAAAAGCGAGAGAAAATCTCCAAATCCAAGGAAAATAGATTCTCTCTCACGAACACTTCGAGGTCTGTGCTATTCCCACTAAGTGACTGACTACTCAACAGTCCTCTTTCTCTCTTTATAATCTCACCAAATCGCTTTGCTTTCGTCACACTAATTTTTTTAAATTAGGGATTAAGTTGAGTTAATGGTGAAGAAGTTTCGGCGTAGCGTCGATGAGTGCGGTGGTTCAAATCTTTTAATTCAGAGGGGAAAATTAAATGGTAACTGCTACGAGGAGAGAGACATTGTTCACATGTAACAGCTGGCAGAATTAAAGGCCACCGTACAGTGTGATTTGGCCTTATTTTATTGGACAGTTGTGTTTGCCTGGTCTCCTATTGGTTAGGTGTCGTTTTCATGGGTTAGTTTGGTGTTCGTTCCTTCCCTCCGTAGTTCCGTGAGCTATAAATTAATTTAAAATTATTTGTGCACCAATTATTTTTCCAACTTGGATGTGAACTTCAATCGTGTCGTCTCGTCTCGTCTATAAAGTATCAATGTTGGACTCAACGTTTTGGGTTTATATTGGTTGCGTGTCTTCTAGTATTTTGAAACGTATATTTGAAAAAGAGTTGGATGGTAATAGAAGGATAGGATTCAAAAATTGACAAAACATCCATCTAAGTTTGTTAATTTAGTAAATACTCTTATAATAAAAATATTAAAAATTATAAAAATATATCTATTCACTCATTAAATACCGACAGCCGACCACCACTGTCATAGGATGGCCGAAGTCACTGTATCGACGTACAACTGGTTAGATCTAACCGATCGTTCGCTAAGATGGCCTTTTCTAATCAAATCTATCGTGGATCTGGCCAAAAAAATGTCAAATTTATGACTAGATCTAGCCATTGACGGTTAGATTTGGCCGCATTTGATCGTCAACGACTAGTTACGGCCAGATCTTTGGCCGTAGATCTGGCTTTTTCCGGTCAGATTCATAATGGATCTGGCAGGAAAAAGTTATATCAGCACACTACCGACTAAATCTAGTCAGTAGTGTGCCATTGTACCAGATTTCGACCACCTTCTGGCGATGGTGGCGGGAACTTGGCAAATGTAGGTGGGTGGGGGTGTTTTTGTTAATTTTTAAACTTTTTTGGTGGTGTTTTGTTAAATTAACAAATTTAAGGGGAAACAAATGTGTATTTTGTAAATGATAGGAAGAAGACAGGGAAACAAATTATTTTTTAGTTAATCATTTCCCTCAGATATCACTAAATAACAATTTACTCTTTTACGATATACTATACTTGATCTTATCCCCTGATTAACGCATATTAAATAAAATCCTAACTACAAGATAAATTATTATTTAGGATACCTATTTAAAGAAATTGTTATTAAATGATACTTGAGAGGAAATTTATGGTAAGTCAAGTATCATCAAATAATAATTTCCTTTTAAGTATCTTTAAATGAAAATTTATGGTAATATGTACTGGTAAGATGATAAAATCCCAAATGGAACAATGACAATAAGGGAGAGAAAATTGTTGTTCAACGATATTTGAAAATACTGAGAAATTTAATTAACTGTTATTTTTCCTAATTAAACATAATTTGTGGCTGCTGAATAATATGATTAACTTGGGCTTACATATTAATTATTATTATTATTATTTTTATGACTGAGGTGTCTATGTTAGCTTGCGCGCATCTCAACTGATCCTCGATACCTATTAAACACCCTACAAACTCAATGTTCCAAATAAGGCATAAATATGCACGATGCCCATTAAATACAGTACAAGTCTAATGTTCCAAATAAGGCACAAGTGTGATAGATAGGGGTGTAAGCAAGTTGAGTATCTGGTAAATCGAACTTAACTTGATCGCTACAATACCGAGTTCGAGCATAAGAAATCAAGTTCGTATAATAAAGTGTTTTTTTAGTCGAGTTCTACTATGATTTAACTTGACTTGATTAACTACTTGAACTCGACTCGACTAATGTCAAGTCCAGTTCGAGCAAACTTCAAGTCGAGTTCAAGTAGCTTGCGAGTGGCTCGACTTAATTTTCACCCCTAAGTAGGTGGCCCTAAGGTGGTTTGAACCCAGAAAATCAACGAAGAGAATAAATCTTTTTGACCACCAGACCAATCCTTAGGATGTTGGGCTTGGAGATTAGGTGTATTAATTATTGGAAAACATACATAAGAACAAGAAGTAAACATTTTGACAATAACAAATGTAATGTGAACGAATCTAATCCATTTATCAACTTGATAGTTGATAGTTACATTATTCATTTTTATCTAAAATCTTTATAGTTGATAGTTACTTTATTCATATTTATCTATAATTAAGAATAAAGTAATTGCATTATTAATTTATTATATTACTTTGTGTTAAAATATTTTAAATGTAGAAAGCAATTCCATTCCATTCCATTCATTCAAGTAATTGCTTTCTTTAATCTAGCTTCACTTAAAATACTAAACACGTTATAAAATTGAAAAAATATTGAAATGTGCTCGGATGAAAAGTCGACGTTACCTTATATTATTGCTTTACCACCAATACTAGTCTAACCCTCTTACGAATATTATCAAGTGTAAACGACGTATTCCCACTCTAGGTTTGACAAAATCGCAAATGGATACCCCAAGTTAAATTTATTATAGATTCTCACCCTTAAAATAACACTGTTAGTCTGTTAGCAATTTTTAGGATATAGAGGGTGCAATTAATATAATGCACTTAACCCTAAATTAATAAATTATGTTTTAACCCCTAAATTAGTAGAATTATAACTATTTTATTTTCAAATTATCTCAATAACATCCTCAATCACTACACACCCTCTTGATTTTTGCTTGATCTGGGTTGTTTCTGACGGAGTCGAACCCCTTGGTCACCTCCATCACCTTCCTTGTAATTTTTCATCCAAAACCCCTCTGGTTCCTGACTCATTGGCCCCTCCAATCATCGACGCCGTTAGGCTTAGGGTTTCTTTGTTCTTCATCGACTTCCGGTCGATTTCGACTGCGAAAATCCAATTGAACACCACCACTACAACCAACGTCTCCAACTCTATAAAACCCTTATGTCCCTAGCAACTGCTTAGTCACCGTTCGCAGGCCGAGAGTTCGTGTTCATCGACCTTTTTTGGTGAAGTGGTGGACAGCAAATGGTGAGCTACCGAGGCTGGGAAGGTTAGGGTTTTTGTAGGGGAGGATGCGAGGAGTCAAATGGTGGTGAATTGGGGTTGTCGCCACTCAAAACGGTCAAAAATTGGCAAAAACTAGTCGCATGTCACGAGTGATGAGGGTTTTGAAGGGTAAGGTTTTGTAGAGGGGAGGATGAGGGTTCAAATGGTGGTGACAAAAGTGATTTTTGGTGGAAGAATCGTCCAAAAAAGGGCAAATAATGTCAAAGACACCTTCTGCTAACGTGCGCCAAATGACTGTTAAAGGCGGCGATCTACTAATATGCGCCGTCCATGCAAAATGACCAATTTACCCCTTTACCATTACATCAAACACTTTTTCGTCACTTTAAAAGTGAGAATCTTGAATAAATGTAACCAAGGGTACCAGCTTAGGATTTCATCAAACGTTGGGTGAGAATGTGTCGTTTACTGTATTATCAAATATCTCCTTGTATAGGGGTGATTTTTGAGATCTGTACGAGATTTTTGATATTTTATATTTTATAAGAAATTTTACGATATTTATAAGATTTTTTTAATTAGTAAAAACATGTATTACTTAAGTATCACTCACGGAACGAGTTTTTTTTTTTTTTTTTTTAATGATTTGAGTGTCCAAACAAGTTTACGCGCACTTAAACAATTAATCGTCTAAGACCCTAGAACTATCGGCCGAATAAGAACTCTAGTGGCTACTCCTATTAGTAACTGAAGAGGAACTTGAACTCAAGACCTCTTGAGTAATACACTTAAGAGTCTCTATCAAACTAGGACTGTCAGACGAGTCGAGCGGCTCACGAGCCAACTCAACTCGACTTGTATGAAGCTCGTCTGGAGCTCGACTCGACAATTATCGAGTCGACTTGGCTCGAACTTGGTTTATTAACCAAGTCGAGTTCGAACATGGGGGAGCTCGACTCATGGGCTCGCGAGCCTGGGCTGGCTCGTGTATACACTATGCACTTATGTAGGGTGCTTTGGTGAGTTTTATAAACCATGAGGTATTAAACTGTTATATGGTAGTGAAAAAACTTTTAAAAAATGACAGTTACCCCCCTAAAGTGCAAAATCGTAAAACACCCAATTTTTCCCCAAGTCAATTTCATTTCCCCTAATTCCCAAATCGCAAACCCAATGAAGAACCCTAACCCTGGAACCAGTGACCTCGCGGTGAAATTAGTCCTCTCCATCGCCGATCTCACCAACCAAAAAAGCAGTCACACAAACCCCCAAATCGTGAAATCGCACCAGCCACCACCGTGAAATCGACTACCCCAAATTGCGAAATCGCACTAGCCACCACTGTGAAACTGACAGGCTTCATCCCCGTGTTCTTGCAACCACAGGTGAGTTTTTCATCTCTTCTTTCATCAATTTAAACTCAAAATCACCATTGCTCCTACAGTTTGTTCTTGTATTCCATAGTTATCATATGTTGTATGTAAAGGAAGGTATAACTCTTTTTCATGTTAAGTTAATCTTGTATAGCTTTATTTTCACTCAGTGAATTGTTGAAATTTGAAGGAATTGTTCAATGGTCGCTTTCATATATGAGCTGATTTATCTATTCCTACTTTTTGGTCGATCAACTCAAATTAATGCATCTCTGTGTGTCTTTCTTTAGTGGAATCTAGAAGGCCAATCAATACAGAAACAAACATTGGATGTAAAGCAGGAAGGCTGTATTGAATTGTGCTTTGGATTTCAATTGTTCAAAATTTCAATTCTTTGGACATACCTGTTTATGAAGTTTGAATTGTGCCCATTTATGTTGTTATTATTATTATTATTATTTTTGTGTGTAAATTCAACATTGGATGTAAAGAAGGAAGGTTGTACGCGGGAAGGTTGTAAGCAGGCTATAAAAAAGGGGAAATTGGCTCGGTCAAACCTGGGTTTGATCGAGCCTTAACGAGCTTGAGCTCAACTGGGGCTCGCGAGCTCGAGTTCGAGCCAGCTTGCAAGCCGACTCGAGCTCGAGTTCGAGTAGCAATTCTAAGGCTTGTCAGGCTCGAGGTCGAACTCAAGCTCGACCCTG